TTATCAGTTATATACTAAGATCAAAACATCATGCAAGATAGGCGAAAAGCTAGTGCAAAAATGGGAAATATAAAGCAATAGTGCTCACCCTTGAAGAACACTTCATGAACAGCAACTCCAGCCCCCTCCTTCTGATCAAAACCAACTCAAAACTCCAAGAACAACCTCTCAACACCTCAATAACTAAGGTATAGTGTAACAATAGGTGCTTTAGTGCAAAAATAAGAACAAAACACACTTTTGAACACTATTCCACACACAAATGTAGAGAGAGAGAGAGGAAGATATAGAGAAGGAGTGATATATGTGATATATATCTCTAATTTGCTCAACCCCTCTAAAGGAGGAGGGAGGCCCTCTTTTATAGAACAAAAAGGGCCTAAGCTTCTTGGAGAAGCCAAGACAAAAGGGTCAAGCTTCCTCAAGAAGCTAGAACAAAGGTTCAAGCTTCTTGGGGAAGCTAAGGCAAAAGCTTCTTGGGGAAGCTAAGGCAAAGGGTTCAAGCTTCCTCAAGAAGCTAGAGCAAAAGGGTGCAAAGGGTACAAATCCTCCATACATGTGTATGGAGGACAGATACGTGTGCTCTAGCTGGCATGCAAAATGCCTGAAAAAGTCAAAAAAGAAGTCCTGGCCAGAAACTATGGCCGATTGACATAACAAACGGCCAACCGACCAAAAATAATGCCGACCGGCCTCACCAATGGCCGGTAGCAACAAAACAGGGCCGGTGGCCTCAGGCCAAGGCCGGTGAGGTGTGGGGATGACCAACAAGCCATTCTCTGCCGTCAGAAGCAAAAACACAAGTGTTTGGTATACAACCAAGCACAAAACAAACAAGTCAAGAGGTCTTGAGGCAAGACGCGCGACCGAAACCTCCGAGAACTCAAGATGAGCACGAACAAGGATGATCATCGAGTGTTCAAACGATGACGTCCAAGTCTTGAGGACGGTCAAAAATGAGGTGTCTACAAGTATCTACAACAATCAAGACTATCCTCCACCGATAGCCCAAAACAATTATTTCTAAACAAATAATAAATTATCAAACAGATAAATTATCTACAATTTTAAATGTGAGTGATTAATCAATCCACCCCCACCATTAAATCTCATAATTACCCAATTTCATTATTTCCAACTCAATTTCATATTTCCATAATTTTTTCAAATTAATTATACAAATTAATTCATCACAATAAATTAGGGTTTTTCTCCCAATTTTCTCAATATTGACCCAAAGGTCCAAATATCATCAATAAACATCAATAACCTTATTTTAAGACCCAAAATACACATGTATTGGTCAAAAGAAAAAAACCCCTCTTTATACATTTTGAAACCCTAGCACCCAAAATTTCCTAACTTCAACATTAAATCAAAATGACCACAAGTTTATGTCAAAGACCATAAATATGAGTAGTTATCCCTACCTCAAATTTCGGAGCTCAAAGGAGATGATGAACAAACTCAGAAGTGCTCCAAACCCCAAGATTTTCGGATAAAAATGGAGGTCTTGTAAAGTTCTACCACTTTAATGAAGGCACAAGGGTTGGATCTCACTAAACCAAGATCAAAATGTAGAGAGAGAGAGAGAGAGAGTTCTAGAGTTCTAGAGAGAGGAGCTCTCAAATTAGGGTTTTGAAAAGCTAGAGAGAGAATGGCTTGAAAAAGTGATTCAAAATGCTAAAATTCGGACTGATATAATACACAGTCCGTTCGAGCGTGGAACGCCCTGCTCGAGCGTCAGATACAGACTCATGCTCGAGCATGAAAAAAGCCACTTGAGTGTCGAATGCATACTTCCAGAAGTTCTGCAAACGAAGGTCCCCGCTCGAGCGTGAAAGTGGACGCTTGAGCGTCCGACGACCTGCAGGGAAAATACTGAAGGTTAAAAAATCCGGCTCGAGCGTCGGAATGCCCGCTCGAGCGGAGGAGCAAAAGCAAAAGGCTCGCTCGAGCGTCAAAAGCCCCGCTCGAGCGTGAAGGCCAAAATCTGGGCATCAACTCTTGGTTTCCAAACACAACCAACCTGTTTCAAACCTGTCCAACACAACCCAAGACTCAAATACAAAGAGTAAAGGATGGAAACGAGAATAAGACAACAACACATCCACGGAACCGAGTTCGGAATATAATAAACAAGGAAGGAAAAACCGGGATCGCTATATTACTTAGATGTATTTTTTTTAAAAAAATTTAAAAATTGATAAATACATAAAAATATGAAAAATATACTAAATACTCATATTTTTTTTTGTATTTTTGATATTTAGTGATTTTTCTAAAGATTTTTTGCACAAATATTATATTTTGTAAGTGTATTTATGTTAGGTTATCTAAAAATTAAAAAACAAATTGCTTAAAAAAATTTAAAAAAATCCAATGAAAACAAAAAAATACGGAAAACAAAAAAAATTCAATTTTATAAAAAATAATTCTTGAAAATAGGAATCAAACAAGCTAATTTGTTTTTTTCACATAACTGTTTTTATTATTTTTTAAATTTGAAAGTTGATATTTTAAAGTTTTGAAAATCAAAATAAATGTCAAATTATTATGTTCATTTATAGATAATAATCATTATTTTAATGGGACTTGAAAATTCAAAAAATCTTAGTTCGGATTTGTATGTAAATATCCCTTTTCAATTATTATTATTATTATTATTATTATTATTGGGATAAATTACATTTTACCCCTCAACTATGTGTTATTGCCACTTTATATCGTTTAATCAAGAATTGTTACTTTTTTCCTCATAATCTTCTAATTTTTCTTTTCAATTTCAAATTTTAATTGAGATTTTATTGTGAAGATATAATGGTAAAATTCCATATGGGTTATACAAACTAAATTTATAATTAAGAAAAAAATGTTCATTTAATATGAGATATTTACACATATCTCATGTATAATAAGGATAGTTTTTGACTAAAATATTCAACAAAGACAAAATAAATTAAAATAGTTAATAAGACAAAATGTCACATCAAAATCATAATTATTTTATATTTTCTCTTACAACCATCAAATAAACTAAAAAATATATTTATATCGCAGAAATTGTGCATCGACTGTTGTATGCTCGATTTGTAAAAGCGAACCAGAAATAGTGGATCATATTTTGTTTAGGTGCCATTGGGTTAGGGTCGTTTGGTTTGGGAGTGGTTTAAATTTTAAAGTGGATCCTTAATTGTTTCCTTATGTGGCTAAATGGTCTTGCACTATTATGAAGTTGTTCCAGAATAATTAAGATTGTGTCGAGTTCTTTAGTACAACGGCGTGGTTTGGGTGGTTTATTTGGAAGGATATAAATGATTTCATTTTCAACTCCAATCTTGTTGAGCCTTTGTCTACACTCTTCAGGCAATCAAGCAATGACGAAATTTCTTATAGTTTCCCTTTTTCAGTCGATGCTTCTAGATGTCTATCTCCGTCTTGGAATCCTCCTTCGAGGGATCAACTTAAATTTAACTGTAGTGTAGCTGTTAAGAAAAGGGTCGTGTCAAGGTACAATGCTATTCTTTTTCAGAATTCATCACGAAATCTCATTAGTGGAATAGCTAAGTCTATGGCTATAACTTTTGCCATTCGAATGGCTTGTCTTATGGCTAAAGCACGTAACCTTCCAAACATTGAGATTGAGGTGATAACAAGCAAGTTATCCTTATTTGTGTGTCTGACACAGATCCCCCTATGGGGTGTAATGCTATCTTTCATGATATCTGACGTATGGCAAGGCCAGAGAATTTATCTTTTGACTGGAGCCCTTGTTCGTTGAACAATGCAGCTCATTGGACTACCCAAACTTTTAAACGTAGAGAATTGCCTCTCAACTGGGTTTCTCCCCCTCCTTATGCTTTAAGGGAGGTTTTATCTTTGTAATGTTGATTGGATCGCTAGTCTTCTAGTGTTTTTTTTTATTTTATTTTTAAAAAAGGGCTAACAAATAAAGCACCTATTGAATAAATTTTTTTTTACATATATATATATATATCTTTTTTTTTTTCTTTTTTTTTAATTCATAACAAAATGTGAAAATCGAGATAAAACAAATAAGGGAATTAAATGTAATAACTTTTAATTGAATATAATGTTATAATGATGCGAAGATAAGGTGCAATTTTTCTTAACAATTAATTTTCCATTTGATGGCTAGCTATAATATTAATCTTATTTGAGTTCTCATTACATACAATAATTATAAAAAAAAATGATCACACGTGTTTGTATGTGTTTAGAGATAGTTTGACATGGATATTAACCCATATTCATCAGCAATAGTGTCGCCAACAATAAAATTTACATCATTTTCTCTATCTCTCTATAATTTATTTATTTTTAATTTAAAACAAAAAAAGTGAGTTATGTCTTGCTTGGGAACAAATTATTTTAATAATTTTTTTATTTTTTACTAAAAAATATAGAGAAAATAGTGTAACAATTTTTAATGATTTTTTAATTAAATATTTAGTTGGTAAATGAGGTCTAAGCGCATCTCAAACTGTGAACTTTTTTTTCATCAAATTTGAGAAAAAAAGGTGATTTCCTCAATCTGATGCGAGATGCTCCAACGGTTGCATTATAACTTACATCAAAAGACTGAGGACGTCCGGCTAGTCGACCGGTTAATGGACTTGAATTTTTTTTTCCCTTCCCTTCCATTTCAGTTTCCATTTCATTTCTCAAGTACTCTGAACCAAAGCATCAGACAAAGAAGGAGGAGAAGAAGGGTAGAACTAGAGAGAACGCAAGCAAGCAAGCGATGAGTCAAGCTTTTCACACTGGCCATGAAGGCCCGCTTCATCCATCAGACAAATATTCGATCGATCAATTCATCACTCAATTCATTCCCCCAAACCTTATTAGATATAATTAGAAGAAGATCGATCACACTCTGCACAATCGGTCGATTCATCACTAAGTGAAGATCCTCTATAGTACACTATTTGTAGTGCATTTTGTAGTGTCAATCAAAAAAAAAAAAAAACCCACAAAACATGGACAAGCTGAAATTGAGAAGTGAGTATCTACTCTTGTGAGTTAATGGCCAAATAGCTTTATTGTATTGTGTCTACAACTCATGATTCTGACAATGGAAATCATTAAACTGATGGATATTACCTTCTCTATATATTGTTTTTCCTTTTTGGCAGTTTGAATGCTCTGTGTTGCAGCTGAGAAATGCGGATTAATTGTGAAGCAGTGGGACAACCGGTGGGACCCTATGGGGATTAATTGTGAAGCAGTGAGACAACCGGTGGGACCCTATGGGGATTAATTGTGAAGCAGTGGGACCCACTTCCAACGTAAACGCACAGTATTTTGGTAAAATTTATGGCGGTTCTCATTTTGATATCAGTTTGATGAAACTGTTGGAGTTAAAAAAATTATTTTTTTTTTACCAAATTCAAATTTAGTGATGGTTTTGTTTAATCGTTGGAGATGGTTTAATTTGTCAAAATTTGATGTCAATTTGTAGAAGTGAAGGACTGAGGTGAGAGGAAGTGCGGAGATGACAAGGGAAGATAAAATGAGAGATGGAGAAAAGTGGTTATAATGGTAGTAGTAGGAGATGAAGAGAAATAATAAAAGAGATGATATTAATAGGAAGAAAAATAAAAACAAATTTGGGTTCCTTTGTAATTATTTTTGCACTTCTGTAATTTAAAAATACTAATCTCTTAATATCGAAGATTTTTTTCAAACCATAAATTATATATAGGTCAAGTTTGGCATACACAAAATAATTCATTTTTTTATCTTTTTATTTTTTTTCCATCACATCACCTATGGGTGTCTCTATTTACACACCACTCTATCTCTCAAGGCAAACCATTAATTAATTTTTTTTATTACAATTTTGACCTTAAGCGAAATGACTATAGAGGATAAGTTATGATACACACCATTTGTGTATTGACTATAAAGGACAAGAATGAATATAATATAAATCATCAATTTCAAACTTGTTACTTACGTATCTTCTTTGTCAAGAATACAAAAACCCTAAAACCAAAACCAAAAACTCTTCAACAAATAATCAAAAATATAGTATTATTGAAGATTTTGAATGGATTCAATGAAGGATGCATCTGGCAACTTTGAATCGCAACAATGGAGCAAGGAAAAGGTTATTTTTTTTGTTGTTTTTGTTTTCGTTTTCATTACGTGCTGAGTGGTAAATAGTTGGTACAGTTCGGGTAACCAGAGATGGATATTATATCATTGTTCAACATACTACGGTCGAACAAAATGCCTTTGTTCAACATACTACGGTCAAACAACTTGTATTTGTTCAACATATTACAGTCGAACAAAATGCTTTTGTTCAACATACTACCGTCGAACAAAATGCCTTTGTTCAACATACTACGGTCGAACGTTATTCATATATTCGGTTAACAAAAATCGAGCAATTTCATTTAATTCGACTCTATACTGTCGAACATTTACAATTTTTTTTCCCCCAGAGCGGAGCATCCGTGGAATGCAATAATGTTGGATCTGGAGGTCTTGTTGACTACACGAGTCAATTTATTACTAATGAGGTAGTCTCATGTCGAAAATTAGTATTTTTTTCTTTTTCTTTTTGGATGTTTAATGACTTTGTTGAATTTGACTTGTAGGTTTTCAAGAGCAAAGAAGAATTACTTGGTTGGGTACGGGACGTCGGAAGGAAAAATGGGTTTGTGATTGTCATTAAGACATCAGACTATGGTGGTGGTCATAGGACACCAAGGATATTTCTTGCCTGTGAGAGAAGTGGTCAATATAGAGCTCATAAGAAATTAGAAGGAGATGATTCGAGCAAAAAAATTGTGAAGATAACGGGTACAAAGAAATGCGGGTGTCCCTTTGAGTTAAGGGCTCGTAAGTTGATGGCTGATGATGATTGGATGGTAGATGTAGCATGTGGAACGTATAACCATGCTCCTGCTAAACATTTTGAAGGACATTCATTTGCAGGGAGATTATCTGAGGAAGAAACATCATTATTAGTGGATATGTCCAAAAGTATGGTCAGACCGAAAGAGATTTTGGTTACATTGAAATGAAAGGATGCTTTGAATGTAACCACTATGAAAACCATTTACAATGTACGTCATAGGAATAATGTTATTGAGAAAGATGGGAGATCACAAATGCAATATTTGTTGGGTGAGTTAGAAAAGCATAATTACATTGAGCGGCATAGGTGTGACAACAACACGATGACTGTCACAGACTTGTTTTGGGCACATCCTGTTAGTTTAGATTTGCTCCGTTCATTTCCAAAGGTGTTGATCATGGACTGCACATATAAGACAAATCGATATCGTCTTCCTCTTCTTGAGATAGTTAGAGTGACATCCACTGATATGTCATTCTCCGTAGCCTTTGCATATCTCCAATTTGAGCGGATTGATAACTACGTTTGGGTGTTAACTACATTGCGTAGTCTTTTGGATGACATTGTTATTCCTGAGGTGATTGTCACGGACAGGGAGCTTGTTTTGATGAATGCTATTGATAGGGTATTTTCTACATCTCGACATTTATTATGCAGATGGCATATTAGTAGAAATGTACTGGCGAAATGCAAGAAAATGTTTAAGAGTAAGGAGGAATGGGACAAGTTTATCTCTTTATGGAATTTCTTAGTACTCTCCTCAACTGAGCTTGAATACAATGAACATCTTGCTAGGCTACTTGCGGATTTTGATATATATCTTGAGGCAGTGCAATATGTGTCACAAAGTTGGTTAATTCCATATAAGGATAAGTTTGTTGCCGTATGGATAGATAGTTGTATGCACTTCAGGAATGTTACAACCAATAGGTAATATATATTTGTCTACCTTACACTATTATGCATTATGATTTTGATTATTTAAACTTGATTATGTTAATTGTTTCCATTGTACATAGGGCTGAGAATGCACATGCAAAACTGAAATGACAACTTGGTTCTAACCAAGTAAATTTTGAGTGTTCTTGGACCAAGATCCATAGTTTGCTTGAGTTGCAGCATGTTGATATTAAGGCATCGTTTGAGAAGAGTTTAACCATTGTACAACACCAGTTCAAACCATCCCATTTTAGAGAGCTCCAAGGCAATATCTCTATTGCTGCATTAGATCATGTCTTAGCGGAGAGTAAGCGAGCGAATGATGTTGGCATTGATGCTTCAGTATGTGGATGTGTTGTTCGACGAACACACGGGTTACCGTGTGCCCATGAGATTGCGGATTACATCTGGCAGGGTCGTTCAATACCACTTGATAGCATTAACCCACACTGGAGGACTCTTGAGGTAGTACATAAGTTGAAGAATGATAAAGTGGAATTGAGGTGTGAACCAAAGTTTGATATGATACTTAAGCAATTCAATGCATTTGATTACACTACGCAGTTGGAAATTCTGCATAAGTTAGGAGAGATTGCAGATCCGCAAAGTAGTTTTCTCATTGAGCCGGATGTGAAGCCTAACCCTCGAGGTAAGGGACATAAGAAGATAGATGTATCTACGCATCGACACCCTTGTGCATTTGAGCTAGTTCAGTCTGGACATGATAGCCACTCACTAATGGGCACCCAGATCCCCACACAAGATTCTGTCAAAGTACATAAAAAATGACCTGCCAAAGAGCAAGTACATGTAATCATTTTTTACTTACATTTTTGTTTATGATAAATTACGTGTTTTGTTGTTCATGTGTTGATGTTTTCCCTGTTGAATAGGTATATCGGACGCGTACAAATATGACTTATTCATATGTTGATGCCCTTCCAGTTGGATTGAAGCCTTACATACGTCTTATCAAGGATGTAGATGCCGATGGCAATTGCGGGTTTAGGGCCATTGCTGGCTTGATAGGGTTTACAGAGGCTGAATGGGGTCAAGTCAGGCGTGATCTCCTACAGGAATTGCACACACACATAGACCATTACACTCATCTATATGGTTCACATGACAGGATTGAAGAGCTGACCCATATTCTATCATACTTTGAGCCCAATCCAGGGTATCACCGTTGGATGACTATGCCTGACATGGGTCATCTTATTGCATCTTGTTATAATGTGGTATTGTACCACTTATCTGCACAACAATGCCTTACTTTCCTCCCCCTACGATCGGTGCCAATATCACAACTTCAACGGCGTGAGATTGTTATTGGGTTTGTTAATGGGAATCATTTTGTCCAGGTATAGCATTATGATTTGTGTAATACATTTATCATTTTGTACTGCATTGCTCTCATACTTCTAGTTGTGTCAATGTAGGTGTTCATGTTACCAGGTCATCCAGTTCCACCGATAGCTACCAATTGGTGCAAGTTTCATCATTCTTGTGCGACTGGATGGGATACTGCATATAGTCGCCGAATTGAGCATTTTAAAGAAGTTGTTCATTCAGGGGTAGCTACTAGAGAGACATTTGATTGTATTAACCTTGATGAGTAATGATGTATGTGAGTTGAGTTGTAGTGATGCAATTTAAATAGTTACCGATACATTTTTGTGGATTAGCATTTAAATAGTTGAGTTGGATTAAGCTTTGAGTTAATTTAATGCACATGGTAGTACTTGTTCATAGTGGTGTATCAAATGCATTGGCATAATACTTCCTGTTGATTACCAAAAATACAAACCATGAATACTTGTTCGTTGCAAAATATTGGTAGAGTAATTTTTGTTCATTACAAAACAACAAAAACATCAAAAGAGTACTTCTTTTCCATTACAAAATAACAAAACAAGATTACCACATAACCAACTACCTATCATCTACTCGTCTCCTACGATTGTATGTTCGAAGTGGAATAGAACTAGGTCCAGCCTCATCAATTTGTTGGCCTTGAAGAACACGTGCCATCCTCTCAATGGCCTGATATAACCTATCTGGCTCACGAACACTAGCATTATGGCTTGCCTCGATGATAGGATGGGCAATCTGTAGTGCGTGATCAATACGCTGCATTAAGAACAAATACAATTGTAATTAACACATGCCATCTTCAAAAAAATTGTAAACAATGTGTGACCAATATTGTCATACCTCAGCATCCTGCATGTCAGATCGACTATCTTGTGCACGTGTGTCAAAACCAGACCGATGTGTGGGGTTCTGGATATGTAAGTGTGTGATGGTTGTATACCATTGCATGTAACCATCGACACTATCAGCTGGACGTCTGATTGGGGTACTCCTCCTCCGAGCAGATAAAACATGATTATCCCAACTCTCCCATATCTGATCAAGATACTGATACATCACTCTATATCGACCTGCTGTCACACCTCTAACAGCACGAACAGGGTCGAGTGGCACAGGTGGGATGGTCTGAACCCTACCAAACTGTCTATGAACCCTTTCAGGATGATAGGGTTCAACTACATCCAAACATTTCAAACAGCCAGTGTAGAATGTGATCTCACGACATGGGTGATGTTGACGGCAATGTCGATATGGATCCCAAGTAACCTAAGAAAAAAACACAAATGAAATCGTGATGAGTGACATGTAATGAGAAAACTTAAGTAAATTAATATTAATTGGTGTACCTCATCAAATGCCAATCTGTCAAGCTCCTCCCGTAACGCCTGTAGGTGTGATATCGTTGAGCCAACTTCTCGACGAGGAGTCTATCGATGCACGTGAGGCAATTGTATAGTATATTCCATGTTTTGGTGAGGTCTAAATGGCCGAAAATGCTCATAAATCCATGCCTCCAACAATGTCATGTAATCGGCCATCTGTCGAACAGCTGATCTCGTGGCAAATCCCAACTGTCGGTATAAATATGCCAATGCAGCTGCACCCCAAGCATATGTATGAATATCAGACAAATCCATCAACAACTTCAAGTACACAACAGGAACTCTCGTTCCACTCTTGTCGCTGAACAATGTACATCCCAATAGAAATAGCAAATACGCTCTGGCGGCACAAGCTATGGATTCCTCGGTGTCTGAATCTTTGTAACCACTGAATTTGGTTCGTAACCACTCCAGCTTCACTGATTGTCCCCTAGCAGATGATAACTCCTCAGTTGCTTTAGCATCATCAACTCCCAAGGCATCTACCACAAGTGCATGTGCCTGTTGATCTATTAAAGTTGCAGCACTAACTGATCTACCTGTGATAGGGATCCCCAAGATGGTACCCACATCATCCAATGTCATCGTCATCTCACCAACTGTCAAATGGAAAGTATTTGTCTCTGGCTACCATCGCTCAACAAATGCAGATATGACAATCCTATTCACAAACCGATATGTGCAATGGACCAAAGAAGATAGGCCTGACAGCTGCATAATGTCCCTAAACCTTCTATTGTCAGTTTTTGACCACCACCGCCACTCAAGAATCTTCGACGCATGATTATAACACCTTAAGGGATTCCTCTCCTGCAAGGTAAATAATAATTTACATAAATAATTTTGTTTAATAAATAATTAAATGAAACAAACATGGATAAAAAGATATACTACCTTTTGCTCCCATATAGCTGTTGCAATATGTGCCTTGAAGCTCTTCAGTACTGATGGATCTGATGGGCCCCTAGGAAACGGACCAGTGAGTACCTCCTCAGCCTGATCTACATCAGCAGCATCATCATCATCCCCTGAACCATTATCGATCACATCATCTTCCAAGATTTGACGTGCTTCCTCTAACACAATATCATCACCCCGACCTCGACCCCGACCACGACCTCGACCTCGACCTCGGCCACGACTAGTATTAGTTATTGCACGACGTCGTCTCTCTGAGGCAGTGGGTGGAATACGTGAAGGGTCATCCATTTTTGAAAATGAAACAGAAAACAACAAAGTTAACAGAAGTAACAGAAATTATTTATGTTAACTGAGGTCCGTTTCTCAAGTTTGCTGTTTTTTTTAATATGCTAGTTGTAAGGGGATCCAATGAATTTTAGTGAAGCTATTATTCCAGAACAAGAGAAGTTGACTTACAACTCTTATCAATGTAATCATACTTTTGAATTGGTATTACAGTTATATAACAACTCGCCTTTTATTCAATTCAAGAATCACAATCAGTTTTATTTGCTTTGGGACCATCTAGAGGTACCTATAACCAATATAGTCTTCTTCAAGAGAAAGGTGATGGAGGGGGTCTGTTCATTTAGACTAACCAGGTTGAAATTAGTTAGGGAATGTTCAGTTGTCAATTCATGACAGCTGCAATTTCACTCATGAGATTCCAAGAAGGCTAAAACATCTATCCTGTAGGATATGAATCATTGAAAAGTGCCAATCACAAAGCTGTTTATATGGAGCATAGATTTTCATGCACAAAATGCAAATAGAACAGTTTCCATTTGGTGTTGCAAAGTTTGGGAGGTAGAAATTATTAGATATAGTTGCTAGTGGGTCATGACAGCTCGGAAACATGGACCAAAAAAGGGCCCTTTCTGTCATAGAGAGCTGAAAAGCCAATACACTCTGTCCCATTTGGGCCCTTTCTAACATGGACCAAAGAAAGTTGGTTGTTTTAAATCCTACTCTCAAGTCAATACACTCTGTCCCATTTGTTGGAAAAGCAGATCCTTATTAAATCATAAGCTTGTCTCTTTTTTGCTTGCAGATTGTGTGAGAGCCGAACCTGTAATTTACAAAAAGCTAGAAGCATTGCCTGATGATGTTGCCTGATGATGTGGCACTCCTGCAAGCTTATGTTGGTGATCGACCTACATGGAGGAATTTATGCTTATGATATGTGATTTTGCAACTTGAATCATTGATTGAAGTGAATCCTAATTTAGGTGAAACAATCTCTGGTCAGCAGATTAAAATTTTTATAAGAATGCAAATTTTTTTTTTTTTTTTTAGGATTATAAAATTATAATGTACTAGTTTATAATTGGCGCAGCATGACTGCTATTTTCCAGTAAAAGATGCTCTAAATAAGTTAAGTATTTTTTTACCAATTAGAAAACCTGCTTCAACCTAGAAATCTGATTTCTAAGAGTAATTGCAGCTACTACAGTTCTATGCATTCTTAAACTAGCAATGGATAATCACAAGCAATAGAGTATATTATCCTTTTAGGCTGTGTTTGGATTTTAAATCTGTGGGGGGGAATGAAAACTAAAGGATAAATGAAGTAGAAGTCAGTTATTTGGTTGTTTTTGTTTTCTGTTTTCATTTTATAATAAACACAAAAAACCACTACTTGAGCAAACCCTGGGGCAGCTCTGCACTTATTAAAACAGAGGACATTCCAAACATTTAAACAATTTTCTTGTCGCAGTTAAAAAAAGAAAACAATTTTCTTGTCAGAATTTAGTTACTGCACGTGTAACAACGCCACTTGCAATTGCAAAACCAAGTAGGCAAATGTATTGCAGTTCTTAATAAGCTGAAAGCTGAGTGTTTAAAATTTGATCATTCCTTCTTTGTGATTGTACCTTCTTAGCTATTACAAGCTTTTGGTATAAGAGCCATAGTAGCATAAACTTGTTTCATTAAAAGTTTCTTTATTACAATACCCTTTGTATCTTATGACTTTATAAGTGTATTCTCTATGATTGCCACTTTCTATCTTCTGAGTTGGTGGAAGAAAGCTGAAAAGCCCTTTCTATCTTATTAGTAAGTGCTTATGAGCAAGAGAGGGCCCTATCTATAGTTTGAGTGTTGGCACTTTAGTTTAATTGCAGCTAGCGCACTCCCTTTCTCTCTCACAGTCAAGTTTCTTGTTTGTTAGTTCAAGCTTTGAAGCCCTACCTTTATTTATGGGATATTTGAAGAACTGCAGGTTTGGAACCCTATAGAAGAGCCTGGTCTCCATCTTGCTAAGATGAAGAGCTGAGATATTTGTGATTGGAGAGTAGACCCAAAAGGCAGCAGATAGTCCTCTTAAGTGAATGCAAAGTAATGCGGTATTAAAAGCCGAAAGCAAAAACTATATATACGAGGATAAATAAATATGACTGCTTTTACATTATCCAGCCACTTTGACTACGACTTTAGTAAAAGTGGAGAAAAAAACACAGTAATTTACAAAAAGAGAGTTGTGGACCAAAAAAGAGAGTTGTTGCAAACTGATATTCTTCTAATAACAATCATGCCAGCTCAGAAACATGGACCAAAAAAGGAAAAAGACAGAGAAAAAAGGAGGAAAAAAAGAGAGAAACATAACGACATAAAGAACATACAAGCAAAAATGATACAAAAACAAATAAAAAATGGTTTTAATTTTTCCAACTAAACACAAAAGTATGTAAACTGAGATGACAGACAATTGCATGATGAATAGAAACTTAAATGCTTCCAATATTAATGTTTTCTATAGTATAGCAATGCCCTCTTATGCAGTCTTATAATTTTACTCATATGCTATGTTTAAATACACATAGCCCCTCAACAGATTTTTTTTTCAAATAATTAAATATTTTCCTTTCTGTCTGTCCTACATTCAATTCGCAGACAACTCTATTCTTCTTTTCACTCAGACGTCTCTTATTTTTCTCTTTTCCCAATTTAGTCTTTTCCTCTTTTGTTTACAAGAAAGCTTCTGATACACACTCCCTTACCACAACAAAAGTTCTGAATTTTTTAAGTGTTAGTTATGAACTATTGTGTTTACGTTATGAAAGGGTACAAAAAAGTCTTAATCATTAATCATTGTGGTAATGTTATGAACATTAAAATGTTAAAAAATGTTGCGGTAAAAAAAGTTACAAATCGTTATGTATGGAACCAACTAGATGCTTCTCCTTGTATGGAATCAACCAACTCATACAACTTGACATAATGATAATCAAACCTCTCATTTCTTTTCCATCTCTCAAACAACTTAGAAACATCAGGTGGATGAATTTAAATCAGACCATATATCTCTAACAGAAACCATTTCACCAACTTGGTTTTGAAACTCTCACACCTACATGGCCCCTTCACTGAAGCCTAATGTTCTATTCACCTTCAAAGGATAGGCTGCTTGTGGTATTTGTCATGCTCCAACAGAATCAAGAAAATTCACGTTATGAGGTTCCGTACATACGAGGCCAATTTCAAACATAAAACAAACATATTTTTCCTTGATCATAGTCCTAATGTTAAACCCAACAAACAAGGAAGAATTTTTCTCAATTTACTACTAGCCTAAAAAAGAGATTTAACCAAAACTAGTTACCACTTTCGATGAGGAATTAATGCCTTCTCTTATCAAAGGGTCTGCCAAATATTCAATCATGGTAACAAAAATGGCTTCATTTTAATTATTTCTGGGAAACACAACTCAAGGCTGGAAGCCATAATGGGTTAGGCTTTAATTCATATGGATAAGATTTTAAAAAATTTATCAATGAAGTCTGTTTTTCAAACATCTTATCCATTTATTTATTTTCTTTGTTTCAATTCTAACTTTAGTTTTTGTGTTCATCAACTTCTATAACATATTGGTATATCAATTTATTATAAACTTTCCAAATGTGGGGGGGGAGGGGGGGAAAAAAAAAACTGTTCGACAGTACATAATCGAACAAACCATTACAGTTCAACAATCTAGGTCCGAACAAGTTCGACAATAACAAGCCGGACAAATTGATTGTGTTCGAAAGCCAAGTACCGAACGAGCCTTTTGGGGTTCGAAATTACAGTATTGAACGGTTTGGAACTGATTCATTCATGGCAATGGTAAAAAATACATAAAACCCTAAAATGCAAGCAAAATGAGAACTCACCTAATGCTTTACTTGAGCTCTTCACCACTTGCTTGACTCTGTGTTGAGCATCAACACTGTTCATCGTCGAAACAGAGAACGGAGGGGGGAGATAGAAGAAGGTGGGTGTGTGGGGGTGTGTGAGTGAGGGAGGGTAAATATGAGAGTTTGTGTTTATATTATTGTGCCTGTTTGGTGCAGTTTAAAAGCTGCTTATTTTAGCTTTCAACATTTAAGCTATTTTGATGTGTTTGGTTTAGCTTATAGCTTATATCTTATAGCTTTTTGGAAGTCAGAAATCAGCTTATTCCTTAAGTGGGACAGGAGATGCTTAATTTATAAGTCAGAAATCAGCTTATGTTCATAGTTATAAGCTATAAGCTGTTTAAGCATAAGCTATAAGTATTTTTCCACAGTTCTACCAAACAGGGCCATTGTGGATGGGTGTGTGAGTAAGGGTGTATATGTAAATTTGGGGTGTGTGAGGGGTAAAATATATAT